CTATTAGAATAACACTTAAATTAAATTTCATAAAATTAAATCCGCGTTGCCCATGTTCCATATAAAAGCGTTCCACAGAGCCCTTGAGAGCCTAATCATCACTTTGTTCCCACCAAACATGGCTTCCGATAGTACCAGAACCGTACCCAACGCCGCAACACGTCTGTTCAAGGAAAAGTGCCCCACCAGGAGGGCTTATGTTACCTTGTTGGCTGGAAACGGGGACGATTTGAAGGGTGTGGAGGGGTTGGCCAGAGGGCTGAGGAAGGTGAAGAGCAAGTACTCACTTGTAGTAGCCATCCTACCGGACGTTCCTGAGGAACACCGGAAGATACTGAAGGGCTTAGGGTGCATCGTCAAGGTGATTCGACCGGTACTGTATCAGCCCAAGGAACATGCCCATTTAGCAGCGACGTATCCCTTTCTCTCCAATTACTCGAAGCTCCTTATTTGGCAAGTAAGTCCTTATATTTTGAGCAAATCGATCCTCTTTCTAAATAATTGTGTTGTGTGCGCTTGATTGGTTTTTGTTACGAAATTTGCAGTTTGAGGAGTACAGCAAGATGATGTACTTGGAGGGAGACACGCAAGTGTATGGGAACATCGACTTTCTTTTTGACTCTCTAGATGGCTACATCCATGCCCCGTTGGACTGTTTCTGTACCGGAGCACACGAGCAGTGGCCGGAAAGTTTCAAGTGGCCAAAAGAGCTCGGTCCCAAACCTTTATCCTACTATAGTGCTAGCATGTTTGTCTTTGAGCCTAGTACCTCCACCTCAGTTAATCTATTGAATAACCTCAGAAGCATTACGCGATCCCAACCGATCCCCTTTGCCGAGCAGGTGATATATAGCACTTAATCTGATCTTCATCTGCATTTTTCCCCCTTTTGTTTTTTTTAATACCTTCGAATTCTTGTGGGTTTTCTCACTCAAAATATGAAACATCAACATTTGAATGGTTTGGGGCTCTAAACACAATCAATCAGAGCCCTTCCTGGCGTTCTGCCTCGCCCATGGGACATAGCGGAGACACAATGCCTCCCCATGGTGGCTTGATTTTTGGCAATAAATAAATAAATAAATAAAGAAAACTGACTAGCTTGATTGATCGGCCACAAGAACATAACTAGATTGAAGGAAAAAAAAAAAAAAATCAAACCAGTTTGAAGAATGGGAGAAATGTTGGAAGTCAAATTAGACCATGTTACAGTACACCTACTAACCTTTTATGGTATTATTCAGATTGGATTGGTTGGTTGCTTCTGGGCTTGTGACAATTGTCACTTTGGCAATGGGCAGTGCCGGTTATTTTTCCGGTTTGGTCTCAATTTTCTGATCAGTTTCTTCCTTTTCTTGCCCTTCCTCGGATCCTCTACAACCCTTTGATTAGGTGTTTTTTCTTTCTTTTTGTTTCCTTTCCCCTTGTTTTCTTCCTTTTTAGTTCTTCTTTTCCTCCACTGTTGGACCTTCCTTCTCTTTCTTCTACGTATCATTTCTTTCTGTCCTCTTTTGTTTTCATTTCCTTTTTCTTACTTTAAATGACGTTAAATCTTTTCAAGTGTAAGATCGAAAGGTATCTAATAGCATTGCAATGTTCAATCAAGGGGATACATAAATATTAATAGTATCCTTTTTATTGCTGTTAAACCTAATCTACTCTTGTTTTTACATCTCCCTATACATGTGCTTAACCTATCTAATAGCATTGCAATGTTTAATGGGTCTCATAGTTATAAGGAAATTTTTGTTTTTTAAAATGTGAGAAGACAACTTTATAAATTAAAAATTATGTTAGGAAAAATAAATAATTAATTATTCCTGTCGGAAGTGTTATTATTTGTTTATTGATGCGGAATTGTTTTCTTTGTCATTGCCAGCATGTTTTTAATATGTATTTCCGCAAAAGGTTGATTCCATTCTCAAGATATTTCTACGGTGAGTTGACCATGGTGGATGAGAAGAAGAATATTGATCATCTGGAGGAGGTGATGGTGTTACGCTACGGCTCTCCTCAGTTGAGGCCGTGGAGGCACCCACCAAAAATGGGGAATCCAGAAATTGCGAATAAGCTGAAGCGGAAGTGGATTGATATTTACAAGGATCAGTCGTCTGACTTCCAGAAACAAAAATCAGCAAAGATGAAGAACTTCCCAAAATTTCCATCAGCTACTAGTAGTTCCAAATGAGCGAAAAACAACGTCTCAGAGGAAAATAATAAAATCAGTTAAGGAAAATAAGGTAAAGGGTTTTTCTTTTCTAAGGGTACATTTTTTATATTGACTGCGTTCTTAACGTATGCATTTAGCTGGTTGACTAAAAGAGCAACTGGATTTGCCTTTTTGATAGGCAAATAGCACAACCGTATCCTTGCGTTTGGCGTGGTGGCGAAGACTGCTTTCTTTTCTTTTTCTTTTTTTTTCTTTTTTTTTTTTTGAACAGTTGCAACTTTCGAAGGTCACGGGATTGGTCATCTAGTTTTTGGGTTGAAGGTGCATTTACAATGTAATTTATAATTAAAAAAAAAAAAAAAGAAGAAAAAGTAAAGACTGCTTTCTTTAGTCAAATATACTGTATATGTACTGCTTTCTTTAGTCAAATATACTGTATATGTACTGCTTTCTTTAGTCAAATATACTGTAT